CGTCGCCCACCACCATGCGCCAACGCAGTAGCGCCGCCACCCACGCCGCCTCACTACGAACACCACCACGAGGCCAAGAGGACCGGAGAGAAGCTCACCATGACGGGAGCAGCAACACCGACGCCGGGCGGGAGGGAACCACCTCCACCGCCGTCGTGCGGGAGGCCCGTGCCTCCGGCACCGTCGCGGTAGCCGTCCGGACGCGGCAGCGGGGCATGCCGGGCCACCCCCGGCCCAGCCAGGCCCAAAGCGGGCCCGTTAAGCCCCGCCGGCCGCGATGCAGCAAGCCGGCGTCGTCGCCGCCGGCGCCCAGCCACTCGTCGCATCTCCCCTGCCTCCCAGAAGCCACGCCGGAGCCATCCCCGCCGCCGGCCCGCCCAGGCCCAGATGGGGCCCGAAGGGCCCAGATCTGGGCCAAGCGGACGACGCCAGATCCCGCCACCGCGTCGCCCCGCCGCCAACGGCGGCGCCGCCGCCCAGCTGCTCGCCTGCATGCGCCACGGATCCCCGCCGCCACGCCAGACCGCCGTCGCCTAGATGCACCCCCCGGAGCCGCACCGCCCGCGCCGGAGAGCGACCGGGAGGGGAAGGTGTTCTCACCACCGAGGGAGTACGTTTCATGGTTGCGGTCTGTAGTTTTTTTGAGCTTTGCTTCGATTGGTTTGTATAGTTGGTTTGATTCTGTGAATTGTGTGAGTTGAACTGTATGAATTATTTGTGTAACTGGATAACAGTGGGTGTGTGTGTGTCTTGCATATAAATAGTGCATTTTTCATCCATCGCGGACTTTTGGAGGTTCCATGCTTGTGGGCTATAATGTTTATTCATTCATTGCAGACTTTTGGAGGTTCTCCAAGGCTCACCACATGACATTCTGCGGTATCTTATCATAGGTCTTCTTCAAGTCAATGAACACCATATGACCTTCTTTTGCTCTCTATCTCTTCATAAGTTGCCGTATCAAGGAATTGACTTACATGGTCGACCGTTCAATCATGAAATCAAAATGATTTTTTGTCACGCTTGTCATTCTTCTTAAGCGGTGCTCAATGACTCTCTCAGATTCATCGTATGGCTCATCAACTTAATTGCATCGTAATTAGTACAACTTTGAACCTTGTTCTTGAAGATTGGTATTAATATACTCAGCCATAAAGAAATATGGTTGAAAAGTTTAGTAGCCATACTATCGTTATGTCTCTGAGACCTCTTCACAACTTAATGGGATACAATTAGGGCCTCTCTGACCTCTCAGACTCCTGGATCCGCAACACAAAACGCATGCTAGTATCATCAAATGAATCAAGCCAATAGGATAAAAAAAGGTGAAGGAAGTCGCATCTACTTGAGAAATTTGGATATTTGATAGGACGAAGGGGTGGGATCGAGACATATGTGGTGGTGGCTTCTCCCTCTCCCTTGGCTTAGCTTGCTCCTGTCCCTGTTGCCCAGCCCCGCCAGACGGCGATGATGATGAAGCGACACTGGACGTCTTGGTCCCTACCAAACCGGCGTATTGCCAAAGGCTTCTTACAAGGGTGCAAGGGTATACTATTACTACTACTAGGTGATTTCTTTAAAACCTAGTACATGAACCAAGGTTTTCGAGTCGATGAGTCGACGAGTCGCTCAGGGGGGCGACTCTAGACTAGTCGTGACTAGTCTAGACTCATGGTCGACGAGTCGACATGCGATGAGTCGACGTGAGTTAAGCAGTAGGGAGCAGACCAGCAGCAGCCAGCGGCAAGCCGGCAACCAAGGGAGGAGTCACAGCAACCAACCAAGACAAGGCCATCAGGAGATGGGAGGAGCAGCCCAGCAACAGCGGCAACCAAGGGATGAGCAGCAGGCAGCAGCAACCAGGGGAGAAGGGGACGAGCAGCAAGCCAGGGCGGCGGCTGCTGCAGAAGAGGGCTGGGTCGGGGGAGGGGGGCTGGAACTGTTCGATCTAGGTTTCCAGAAGCTCCAATCTTCCTTCAATACTGGCCCACAAGGCAATATTGGCCCAGTAAGGCCCAATGAAACCCTAGCCTGCCCTCAATCTGGACCATCCATATTCTCTAATCTTCACCGTCCATCCATTCTCGTCTTATCTCTCTCTCTCACCTGCTCCCCTTCCAGCCCCTAGGCACGAATCGACAGCCGCAATGGCCTTGCTGCAGCTCCTCCTCCATGGCTTCTCTGCCTCCACCCCTTCCTCTCCGCCTCCCCCATCCTTCCCTGGAGCCGCCCCTCCTTCCCTGCTCCATTTTCTCTTCCCAACTCCTCTTCCATGACAGATTGAACGAGTCGTTCGCCTCAAAAACTGCGACTAGTCGAGACTAGTCGGGACTAGTCGATCGAGTCGCTCGACTCATCCAATGATTCGAGTCGACAGGTTGAGTCGACCTTCATGTAACGACTTGTCGACTAGTCGACGACTAGTCGCGACTAGTCGTTCGACTCGAAAACAGAGACATGAACACATACACATGTACGGAATCGGACATGGACAGGGAAAGTCATGTTTAACTGATTAACTCTAACAACCCAAAATCACCACCGACTGCGTTGGATTAAGGTTTCATATGGTGTTGAGTATTTTTGTATCTGAAGTATTGAGCCGCGAAAGTTGTCAAAGTATATTTATGTTGAAAGTTTATAATCTCAAGTAACAAAATTCAAAACATTCTGACTTCGAATTCAAATCTTATGAGCCGAAAGCTCTTTTCTTTTAATGGACAGAGCTCAAAATTCTGAATTTGATCTTCAGTATTGCCCTATTTTAGTGTCAACCTGAAAGCTAACACTTTCAGGTTCAAGGTATTTCAGTGTCAGGTCCTTCTGAAATTTATTCATAAGCTGAAGGCCTCAATTTACAGTCTTAAATTCTTTCATATGGACTGATATCTGAAAAAGAGGCTCTTGTTATAGACATATGCAAAGTTCCTTCTCTGCCTCTGCTAGATCACTGATTTTGATGTTGTTCGACTATGGAGCCTAACCTGGTTTGTGGTTGTGGTTTGGAGCGTTGTTTTTCAGCAACACATGGACGCTTGTTTTCCTTTATTGCATCGATGCCATGCAGCAGAATGTTATGCTGAAGATGGCACGTACCCTGCAGTATGACACTCTGTTTCTCACTTAGTAGTGTTCTGCAATGGATATAAATATGCTGTTCCTGAGCCTCCTCTTTGTTCTCTTTCACCAATAAGCTAGAATTATTTTGTTATCCGGTCCTGTCTAGGTTCTATAGAGCTGGCTTATTATTGTTATGATCTGAGAGATCGATTTCCTACAGAGCTGAGTTTGGTTCCTGTTCTCTGAACTTTTAGCACAACATCATCATGAGTCGTCGCTTTTTATACTATTTTTATGATTTTTTTCGATCTTTGCTCACCTTACGAACTTGTAGGCACTTGTGCCTAGTTACCTCCTCAGACTGGGTTGCTTCATACATTTACTGATTTAGCAGTTGATCATTTGGAATTTCTGCCTCGAGCGAAACCCCACGGGATCTCGCGACCGGCCGCGCCGTGACCCTCTTATCCAGCACCCCCTCCCCCCTCCTTCCCTCCCCGCCGCCGTCGTCGGCGCTCGCCGCCGGGCCTGGCCCGGGCGAGCTGGCGGTGGTGGCCTCCTCGCAATTCCCCTCTCGGCTCTCCTCTGGCGCGGGACGGAGCGGGCTGGGGAGTGTCCCTAGGCGGCGGCGGTCCGGCGTGGCGGCGGGGTCCTGGCGCTGCGTGGGTGGATGGCTGGGCGGTGGCGTCGCCGTTGGCGGCGAGGTAGCGCGGCGGCGCCCGCTCGGCCCAGATCTGGGCCCGGGCAGGCTGGCGGTGGGGTGCGGCTGCTGCGCGTCCTCCAGGAGGCGGGGACGAGGGGACGAGCGGCAGGGTGCTGGCGGCGCCATCGCGGGCTTGCTGCAGCGTGGCAGCGGGGCTTAGTGAGCCTGTTTCGGGCCTGGCCGGGCCAGGGGTGGCCTGGCATGCCCTGCTGCCGCGTCCGGACGGCTACCGCGATGGTGCCGGAGGTTCTGGCCTCCCGCACGACGACGGTAGAGGTGGTTCCCTCCCGTTCGGCTTCGGTGTTGCTTCTCCCACCGCGGGGCGCTTCTCTCCGGTCCTCTTGGCCTCGTGTTGGTGTCCGCAGTGAGGCGCGTGGGTGGCGGCGCAACCGCGATGACGCATGGTGGTGGGCGGCGGTCTGGCTGGTCGGCTCCGGTCCGTTGGGCGGTGGGGATGGAGTGCGGGAGAAATTCTTGCCGGTTCTTCGGCTCCGATGCGGTGACACCATCCCTTCCTGGAGGGTGTCGGTGATATCCATCCCCCACCTCCCTCCGCATGCCGGGGGAAACTCTAGGACATGTCCGGGCAGCAGCGTCGTTGGCGTCGCATTCCTTCTTGGAGGTGCTGCTCGGTACGCGGCGGTTCGGAGCCTCGGGTTGTGGTGGTTTGTTTCTGGAGGGCGTAGCGGTGGCGGGTCATCCGCGCTTTGTCGAGCTGCCGTTGTTGGCATTTGTTTCTTCTTTTTTTGGGGGGGGCTTGTTGTGCTGTTCGCCCCAGCGATCCTTGTATCGGTGTTGATTGCTTTGGAATACAAAGCGGAGGGAAACCCTTTTTGGTAATTTCTGCCTCTGTTTTGTTCCCACCGTGGTACTTACAAAAATGTGTGATGTCTGTTCAGTTCTGGAGGTTCAGTCATAGAGAGTGACTGGGTGATTTGACAGTTGGTTTGGCCCTGTGTTCACGGCAACCAGAAGCACATACATCTCCGGTCTTCACCTTACTGGAGAATAGTAATCACTTCACTGTGAGGCCGGGCATTGGGATGCCCAAGATTGTGGCCTCAAAGCACTGGTGGATTTGATATTTTCCTCGCACGATGACCCCAAGTCTGAAGTCTCTGTACGCATATGTTCGTCCAGCGACAGCTCTACAATGTATTTCTACCTCTAAATCTGAAGGCAATAAACAACATCAACCTGCAACTTGTCATTTTTACCAACAATCCAACTGCAAGAAATGGTGCTGCAGAAACTCTTATGCGTCTCAGTTTTCCTGCTGATATGCACATCCAAGGCGATCAACCCGGAAGCAGAAGCCCTTCTCCGATGGAAATCCACTTTGATTGGCAGCACCAAGTCACTATCCTCATGGTCGATTGCCAACCCTACCTGCTCTTGGTTCGGCATCACCTGTGATGCTGCCGGACATGTCACCGAGCTCCATCTTCCCAACGCGGGGCTCCATGGTACGCTTCATGCCTTCTACTCTCCAGCGTTCCAGAACCTCACCGCGCTCAACCTCAACAGCAACAACCTTGTTGGCCTTGTCCCAGCAAACATCTCCCTGTTTCTCGTCCTCACCATTCTGGACTTGAGCTATAACAATCTTGTTGGTGCCATCCCCTACCAACTCAGTCACCTCCCAAAGATTGTTAGGTTAGATTTGCGAAATAACCACTTGACCAACCCAGAATATGCCAACTTCTCACCTATGTCGAGTTTGAAGTTGTTATCTCTAGCTAATAATAATCTCAGTGGTGCCTTCCCACAATTCATCATCAACTCCACGAATGTGGGGATGAGATCCCTCGATTTATCCGGTAACACCTTCTCAGGGCCGTTACCAGCTTCACTGCCAGAGATGGTCCCAAGGTTGAGGTACTTGAATCTATCCGCTAATGGATTCTTTGGCTCGATACCTCGCTCATTCTCAAGGCTCCAAAAGCTCGAGACACTACGTCTCGAGAATAATAATCTCACAGGAGGAATCCCAGAGGAGCTGGGGATGATGTCTGCACTGCGATGGCTGATCCTTTACAACAACCCACTTGGCGGGTCAATCCCTGCCTCACTCGGGCAGCTCCATTCCCTCCAGTATCTCTACATAAATGATGCTGATTTGGTTTCTACTCTTCCACCTGAGCTGGGGAACCTTACTAGTCTCGAGTACATGTTCCTGGAAGGGAATCATTTATTTGGAAGCTTGCCACTATCTTTTGCCAGGGTGCAAACAATGATGTATTTCAGTCTAGGGGACAACAATATCAATGGTACCATCCCCTCAGAGATGTTTACGAACTGGACAAACCTTAAGTACTTCAATGTTGCAAACAACTTGTTAGTTGGAAGCATCCCATCGCAGCTCAGGGTGCAAACAATGGTGTATTTCAGTGTAGGGGACAACAATATCAATGGTACCATCCCCTCAGAGATGTTTACAAACTGGACAAACCTTAAGTACTTCAATGTTACAAACAACTTGTTAGCTGGAAGCATCCCATCGCAGCTCAGCAACTCCGAGGCGTTATATCTTCTCAGCCTCTCTGGAAATAACTTTACTGGCTCGATCCCGGTGGAGATGGGAAACATGGTAAACTTGGAATTGCTGGATTTGGCCAAGAATCACCTTACTGGAACAATACCACCTACTATCGGCAATTTAACAAAGTTGCGCTCACTTGACATCAGTGACAACCGTCTCGAGGGTGAGCTTCCTATGGCCATCTCCTATCTGAGGAATCTTCTTGTTCTCTCCTTGTCTGGAAACAAGTTCACTGGTATCACTCCTAATGTCCACAGCAGGCAGTCGACGATTATTAATGTGGTCGACAACAACAACAGCGTCTTTGGAGAATCATTGTCTGCCTATTGTAACCTAATAATGCTACAAGTCCTGGATCTATCAAAGAATCAAATATTTGGAGATCTCCCTGGTTGCTTGTGGAACTTGGGAGAACTGCAATCCTTGGATTTGTCGAGCAATGCTTTTGGTGGGGAAGTTCCAACCTCGGGTCACTATAGTTCTGTGCTAAGCTCGCTGCACCTGTCAAACAACAACTTCACGGGTTGCTTTCCAGCAGTGTTGAAGAACTTCAATAACCTTGTCATTTTGGATCTCGGGAATAATAAGATGTCTGGCGCAATTCCTCCGTGGATAGGGAAAAGCAATCCTTTGTTGAGGATCCTTGGACTGCGATCAAACATGTTCAATGGAAGTATTCCCTGGCAGCTATCACAGCTGTCTAATCTCCAACTGCTTGATCTAGCTGAAAATAATTTTGTAGGTTCCATACCACAAAATTTCGCCAACTTTTCCCTGATGAGACAGACATCCATGATGCCGCCGGTTATAATAATGGACATATTATATACCCAGCATGATGATTTTTATGGCCACATGGATATAGTTTGGAAGGGACGGGAGTACACCTTTCAAGGAAGAGATGCATTTGTAACTGGTATTGACCTCTCTGGCAATTCTCTCTCTGGTGAAATCCCTTCAGAGTTGACAAGTCTTAGAGGCATCCAGTTACTAAATATGTCAGGAAACTATCTTTCTGGTGGTATCCCCAAGGACATTGGCAATTTGAAGTGGTTAGAATCCCTTGACCTCTCGTGGGACAAGCTATCCGGTCCTATTCCTCCTAGCATATCAAACCTGGTATTCCTCTGCTGTCTTAATCTCTCGAACAACCTTTTATCAGGAGAGATACCTACAGGCAATCAACTCCAAACATTGGATGACCCATCAATTTATAGCAATAACCTGGGACTTTGTGGCTCTCTGTTGAACATTTCGTGTAAAAATAGTTCAAGTCTGACGACCACTTCAGATCAAGATCTTGAAGCCATTTGGATGTACTACTCAGTGATTGCTGGAACAGTTTCTGGTTTGTGGCTATGGTTTGGTACACTGTTTTTATGGAAGATTTGGAGATGTGCTTTCTTGAGTTGCATAGATGCCATGCAGCAGAGAGTTATGAACAAGATGAAGCATACCTGGGAGTATAGGAAGCTGTCCAAGTATTGAATGATGCCACACTAAACGAAGATGAAACAAGATGTAAGCGTCGTGATAATTATCTCACTTCCGCTTCAGTACAACCCCCCTAAACACATCGAGGGCTCAGGTTATCCCATACCCTTTCATAACAAAGGGCAGGATGTCTTTTCTTAAAATCTTTTTTTAGCAGTTGGTCTTTTTTTAAAGCACGTCTACGTCTCGTATACAAATTCCACAGGTGCTGGGCCGGCCCATTAAGCTACCACGTTCAATATAAGCTCAACCTAAAAATAAATACATGGAAAAGGGAGAGGTTTTGAGGATTTGAACTCAAGACCTCCCAACTGAAAAACACATGCCAATAGCCACTTCAACCAACAACGGCTTGTGTTATTTCCTAGCGAGAAATATATAAGAATACACAGTAGCGTACATATATATGAAATATTTTCTGAAAAAATGTGAAACTTTTATTAAAAAATGAGAACAATTTTAAAATCCCGAATAGTTTTGGAATTTGAGAACGAAATTTGAGCATTTTTTTTGAAAGTGAACAAGATTTCGAAACACAAACAATTTCCGAACATCTTTCGAAACATGAACAATTTTTAAAATTTGTGGTTTTCTGTGGGGAGGGGGGGGGGGTTGTTTGTCCCATTTTCTTTTTTCTTTTTCAATTTTATTTTGATCTCAATTCTCTTTAAAAAAATCATGAACTGTTTTTAAATTGTGAACCTTTTCTTAAATTCATGAACTTTTCAAATTCGGAAATATTATTTTAATATCGTGTACTTTGTTTTCAAATCTGTGAACGTTTTCAGTTTTACGAACTTTTGTTGTCCTTTGAGCTAGGTGTGGGCTTAAAAATCGACAAATCAAAGACCGAAACGATACCGAAAACGAAAAAACTAGATTTTTGGTTTTTTGTGTTGGTGTTGGAAAATTTCTGCCACAAAGTCAACATGTTGAAAAAAGGTTTATCAATTTCAGAAAAGTAGACAATTTTCTTTCCTATGTACACTCAAACAAATGTACAGCGATAAATCAACACCACCCAATCACATCCATTTAATTAAATATTATATCTACAACATGTTGATTGCTTTTCCATCTTTGCGGTGCTATTGTCGTCTTAGGACGTTCATATGAATCTCTGATTCTTTTTCCCTGTTTCTGCTTGGAGTCAGGTCATGCGAGTTCATCCAACCATTCACGTACAACTATGTGCTGCATTGCAATTTGCAAGCAACCTTGCTTCAGCAGAGGAGATTGGGTGATGGACTTGCTATCAGCCTGGTTATGAACTACTATGTCTATTCCTAAATAGATAGCATATTAGAAAGCATGCACTCTAAATTTGGCTCATGCAATAAAAAGAGTATTCATATTGCTTTCTTGAGTAAAGAAGGTATTCAAGAAATGTACGTGAAAGGAATATTGATTTATGAAGAATGATATTTCAAATTATGTATGCCAAGAAATACTCCATCCGTTCCAAAATAGATGACCAACTTTGTACTAATTTTGTACTAATTTTAGTACGTACAAAGTTAGTACAAAGTTGGTCATCTATTTTGGAACGGAGGGAGTAGGTACCATACACTTAGTGTGAAATTTCAAATTTTCAAAAGGTTAATCTATTATTTTTAGGGAAGGGTATCCTACATATGATTACATGTGTTAGCCGAGACGTGCAAGGCAAGCTTACTGGTGTGACAAAAATTTGTCGAATTGGAAAAAGTTCATCAGTTTGAAAAATGTTAAGAATTTGATAAAAAGTTCACAAATCTGAACAAAAAGTTCGTAAAATAAAAAAAGTTCTCAATTTTGACAAAACAAAGTTCACAAATTTGATAACAGTTTGTGAAATTCAAAAAAGTCCATCGACTTGAAAAAATGTTAAAGAATTTGTAAAAAAGTTTTAAAAAATCATGAATTTGATAAAAGTTTGTGATATTGAAAAATATTCATTCATATGAAAAAAGTTAAGTTCACGGATTTAAAAAATGTTCACGAATTTAAGAAAATGAAAAAAGAAAATAGAAAAATAAGAAGAAATAATGAAAAATAAAGCAAAGAAAAAAAAGGCAAAAAGAAAAGCAGACTGATAAGATGCACAACAAGAAGTATAAAAAAAGAAGCTAGACACAAGAGATAAATTGAATAAAAGAAGAAGCCAGGCACAAGAGATGCACTGTCCTAGTTGGTTAGTGTAGGTAGAGATAAACCAAGAGGTTGAGTGTTCGATACTGCCTCACCCACCTACTTTTTTATGCTTAAAAAAATAATAAAATAATAAATGGGCCAAGCCCAGGATGGAGGGGGGACGTGCGCCAGTTTGTCTGATGGGCCGGCGGATCTGCTATGGACGTCTACGTACAGCTCGTACGCATCACATACGGAGGTGTGTATACGTTATGGTCAAATGACGATACTACCCTTATACGGTTTGTGGAGGGGGGTGTACCGAAGCATGGCTAATTATCTATGTTTGCTGTTGCCAGTACGCTAGTGAAGCAAGTATGCCAAGTAACCAGCATCGGGTTTCTGTTATGTTGATATTTCTTTCCCCTGAATATAAGTAAACTTGTATATATTTTTTGTCAGGGGAATGGTTTATGTCTCGCTCATATATTTGTAAGCATGTGCTGTAAATAAATCTTACAATATTTGTAAAGCCTACTGTGCTTGATTTACCCTGTTGTTGAGAGTTGAAGAGCGGTATAAGTTAGTAGTAGGTCATATACTGAAATGCCAACGATCTTGAGGGCACAAAAGTTTGCACCTGAATTCTTTGGCGAGTTTGGTTCCTGCACCCCCTTTAATTTACTACTCCCTTCGTTTCTAAATATTTGTCTTTCTAGAGATTTCAACAAGTGACTATATACGGAGCAAAATGAATGAATCTACACTCTAAAATATGTCTATATACATCCGTATGTGGTAGTCCATTTGAAATCTCTAAAAAGACAAATATTTAGAAACGGAGGGAGTATAAGCAAGTGCTTTTTTTTAGAATACTATAAGCAGGTAAACCCTCAACAGAAAACTCTATGCGAACGCATGCGCCCCTCCTGCGAAGCTAGCTGCGACTCCGTCGTCGCCGCCGCCGCCGCGGCTACGGCCTAGCTCACCCCCCGAGCTCCACCCGTGACCATGG